GCAGTGCAATGGCGCGATCTCGGCTCACCGCAACCTCCGCCTCCTGGGTTCAGGCAATTCTCCTGCCTCAGCCTCCTGAGTAGCTGGGATTACAGGCACGCGCCACCATGCCCAGCTAATGTTTTTGTGTTTTTAGTAGAGACGGGTTTCACCATGTTGACCAGGATGGTCTCGATCTCTTGACCTCGTGATCCACCCGCCTCGGCCTCCCAAAGTGCTGGGATTACAGGCGTGAGCCACCACGCCCAGCCCAATTTTTTGTATTTTTAATAGAGACGGGAATTTGCCATGTTGCCCAGCTGGTCTTGAACTTCTGGTCTCAAGCAATCCACCTGCCTTGGCCTCCCAAAGTACTAGGATTACAGGCATGAACCACTGTACCAGTCCAATTTGTCTTTTTAAATTATTACATTTTAATTATTTTAAAAGCCACCTGGACAACATGGTGAAACCCCATCTCTACTAAAAATACTAAAATCAGCCAGGTCTTGTGGTGGGTACCTGTAGTCCCAGCTACTCAGGAGGCTAAGACAGGAGAATCGCTTGAACCTGGGAGGCAGAGGTTGCAGTGAGCTGAGATCCCACCACTGCACTCCAGCCTGGGCAACAGAGCAAGACTCTCATAAGATTTACCATCTTAACTATTTCTTAGGGTACAGTTCAGTAGTGTTAAGTATGTTTAAATTGTTGTGCAATTAATCTCCAGAACTTTTTCATCCTGCAAAACTGAAATTGTATTGCATTAAAGAGCTCTCCATCCCCCCACCACATCAGCCCCTGGCAACCTCCATCCTACTTTCTATTTCTGTGAATTTGTGATTTGTCTTTTACAATGTAGCTTTCTTTATTTTTCCAGGGTGAATAACTGTGTGGGATTTTCTAATTACAAATTCTTCCTGCTATTTTTATTATATTCTCTATTATATTGCCTTTTCGTGGCTGCAACAGTTTTAGAGTACTTTATAAAATTTTGGACGGTAAGTCTTTTTTTTGTATCTTGAAACATGTATTTAAGACTTTCAGATGCTATCTTTCTAACAAATTACTTCATTTTTTATGACAAGTAGATATACTTTAGTTTAATTTTGCAAGTTAGAATTTATAATGGATCAGAGGACAGATAAGCTACAATTTACCTTCATATACACACACGTTTATTTGTAAATAAATGTATATTAAACAGGATATAGTGAGCCTCTATTAGTGATCCAAATTATTTTCACCTACATTCTCACAAAGACATATTAATTTTAGGGAAGTAAATTCCTTTTCTTTGAGTCAGTGAGACTTATTGCAATTTTATGGTAATATAATCTATAAAGACAGGAAGCAGTTTAGTGGTTGGCTCAGCCTCAGGCAGCCACTAAACTGCTTCCTGTCTTTATAGATTTTACAGCATTTCTTAAAATGGCAAATGAATGAAAACAATAAAATGTCTTATCAACTGAGGTCTCCTTAAACAATGATGTATCTATACAAAAGAATGCAATGCAGCTTAAGAAAGAATAAGGAAGCTCTTTATAACAAATGATGTGAAGTGACCTTTGAGATCTATTATTAATGTGAATAAAACAAGGCACAGAAGAATGCATATAGTATGCTGCACAGCAAAATAATGTGTATATGTCTTGGATATGTCTTATCTGGAAGAATGCAGTAAAAAATTCCTAATGGTGATTGCCTTTGGGCAGGGCACTTAAAGGGACACATGCTTTTTTACAGTTATCCTTCGAATTATGTATAACATGGACAAATAGTAATGTATTCAAAACAGATAAATATAGCTTTAAAATTTTTCTGGTATGGAAGTATATATTTTTTGGGGAAAACTACCAAAAACATTGAAAGTAACTGCCTCTTGGAAGTGAGAGAACTGCTGTTTTTCATTAATAACTTTTTAGCATTAGTTTAATTTTGTCTGTGCATGTACCATTTTAATAAAATCAAGAAATTATTTAATTTAGTTTAATTTTTTTGGATGGAGTCTCACTCAATCACCCAGGCTGGGGTGTACTGGTGTGATCTCATCTTACTGTAACATTTGCCTCCTGGGTTCAAGTGATTCTCCTGCCTCAGCCTCCCCGAGTAGCTGGGATTACAGCTGCCCACCACAATGCCCAGCTAATTTTTGTATTTTCAGTAGAGGCAGGGTTTCACCATGGTTGGCCAAGCTGGTCTCCAACTCTTGACTTCAAGTGATTCACCTACCTTGGCCTCCCAAAGTGATGGAATTACGAGCGTGAGCCACCATGCCCTGCCAAGAAATAATTTCAAAGTAAATAAAAACTTTCTCCTTCATTTAAACTCTCTCTTTAAGTTTCAAGGTAATATTCATTCCTTTCTCTTTCCCCATTAGCCCTTTAAATATAGATTCAGTCCTGGGCCGTCTCACTGTTGGTTCTCTCCAGCTTGTTTCTGGGTTATTGCGTGTACTCCTGTGGCATTCACAGTCGCTGTTCCTAGCTCTAGCTCTCACATGGCCGGAGTCCAGTCTCCCGTTTCCAGTTGCTATTTATTGAACCAGCAAACATGAGGGAGACACCATAAAAATCAGCACGTCAGAAACCATCCTCATTTTCTTTTCACTGTTCTTTCTATGTTTATCTGATTGACTGGAACAAAATCTGTACAAATCTGTCAGTTTCCAGGCCATAAAAACTAATAGTATCTTGGAATTATTGTTACTCCCTTATGAAACTGAAGTATAGAATCAGTGTGGTATACTAGGAAAAAAAAATGAACTTTGTGGCCGGGCGTGGTGGCTCACGCCTGTAATCCCAGCACTTGGGAGACTGAGGCTGGCGGATCACAAAGTCAGGAGATTGAGACCATCATGGCTAACACCAAATCATTATATTGCAGATCTTTCATGTGTTGAATGGTCATGTTTCTATATTCTTTGGAGAAATGTCTGATCCAGCTTAGTTTTCATTTTCGAATCAGGTTTTTTAAATGTTTAATTTTAGTAATTTCTATATATTCTGTGTATTAATCTCTTATTAATACACAGAATATATAGAAATTACTAAAAGTGAAAAAAAGTGAAACCCAGACTCTACTAAAAAAAATACAAAAAATTAGCCAGGTATGGTAGCTCATGCCTGTATTCCCAGCTACTTGGGAGGCTGAGGCAGGAGAACTGCTTGAACCTGGAAGGCGGAGGTTGCAGTGAGCTGAGATGGCACCACTGCACTCCAGCCTGACGACAGAGCAAGACTCCGTATTAAAAAAAAGAAAAAAAAAGCCTTGTTTGTATGTATATGCCATGTATGTATTTATTTGCCAGAATCTAAGCTCCGTGAGAGCAAGAATGTTCATTTGTCTTGTTTATATATGTTTCTCAATCACCCAGAATATTGGCCAGCACACAGTAGGCGTTCAGTAAATATTTGCTGAGTGAATAGCCAGAATGAAGATACTTAAACTTTAGACTCTTTGTTCTTTCATTTTTAAAAGTGAGGTAATAACTTATAGGATTGATGTAAAGATTAAAATAAATAGTGTAACTACATGGAAAGCAGTCAGATGTTTTTTAGTTTGTTTTTTCCGACTCTGCCTCAAATCATTTCTATTCCTAATATCACAGACATGGTTTAGACCCTTCATCTCCTCATTTTCTGTCTTTATTCTCTCCCTTTCTTTCTTTTTTTTTTGTAGAGACGGGGTTTCTCCATGTTGGTCAGGCTGGTCTCGAACTCCCAACCTCAGGTGATCCGTCCATCTCCTAAAGTGCTGGGATTACAGGCGTGAGCCACCACGCCCAGCCCTTTCCCTTTCTTAAGTACAGTGCCTGCCAATTTATGAGCAGAGTAAAATATTTTGCTTATACTTAATGAGGATATGCTTTGCTATAGCACTGGCTTGTCTTTTTTGTGAAGTTTCTATTGTGTTATTTGCCTATTTCTAGTAGGTTTTTATATTTACACATGAAAGAGTTTTTCTTATATTAAAGACACTAATCTTTATTCTTTTTTGTTTTGTTTTTTGAGATAGGGTCCCACTCTGTCTCCCAGGCTGGAACACAGTGGTACAGTCACAGCTCACTGCAGCTTCAATATCCCAGGCTCAAGCAATCCTTGTGCCTCAGGCTCCCAAGTAGCTGGGACTACGGGCAGGCACCACCATACCTGGCTAATTTTTGTATTTTTTATAGAGACTGGGTTTCACCATGTTGCCTAGGCTGGTCTATAAGTCCTGGGCTCAAATAGTCCTCCTGCCTCAACCTCCCAAAGTGCTGGGATTACAAGTGTGAGCCACCCCGCCCAGCCACTAATCTTTATTCTTGACCTTGAGTTAGATGAGGATTTCTTTCTTTCTCTCTCTCTCTTTCTTTCTTTCTTTCTTCCTTCCTTCCTTTCTTTTCTTTTCTCTCTTCTCTTCTCTTCTTTTTTTTTTTTTTTCTTTTCTTTTCTTTCTTTTTTTTTTTGAGATGGAGTTTCATTCTTGTCACCCAGGGTGGAGTACAATGGCACGACCTCAGCTCAGTGCAACCTCTGCCTCCTGGGTTCAGGTGATTATCCTGCCTCAGCTTCTCGAGTAGCTGGGACTATAGGTGTGCGCCACTACGCCTAGCTAATTTTGTTTGTATTTTTAGTAGAGACAGGGTTTCACCATCTTGGCCAGGCTAGTCTCAAACTCCTGACCTCAGGTGATCGCCTGCCTTGGCCTCTCCAAGTGCTAGGATTACAGGCGTAAACCACCACACCTAGCCCAAATGAGGATTTCTTACATTGAACATAGCAGTCACTAACCATGAAAGAAAAGATCAATAAATTGGGCTTCATTAAAATAAAGAACTTTTTATAAAAAGGTGACTTTTAGAGTGAAAAGGCAAGCTACTAACTGGGAGAAGATACTTACAATGCATATATCTCACAAAGTACTCCTATCCAGAATATGTGAGATACTCTTAAAGATATTAATTCTTTTTCTGTGATAGGTTGCAAATGTTTTTTCACATTTTTTGGGGTTTGTTGTCGTTGTTGTTATTTTGAGATGGAGTCTTACTCTGTCACCCAGGCTGGAGTGCAGTGGCACAGATTCAGCTCACTGCAGCCTCCTCCTCCTGGGTTCAAGAGATTTTCCTGCCTCAGCCTCCTGAGTAGTTGGGACTACAGGCATATACTACCATGCCTGGCTAATTTTTGTATTTTTATTAGAGATAGGGTTTCGCCATATTGGCCAGGCTGGTCTTGATCTCCTGACCTCAGGTGATCCATCCACCTCAGCCTCCCAAAGTACTGGGATAATAGGTGTGAGCCACCACATCTGGCCCTCATTTTCTGTTAATGTCTTACAATCCTGTTTTGTTTTGTTTTTGTCACATCAAAGTTTTATATTTTTTAAGCAGTTATTTTTATATGTGATACCTGTCTGTTGCCTATTCCATATAAATGTATACAGATATTGTCCTATTTTTTCATCTGGCACTTTTGTTGTTTTCATTTTTACCTTTAAATCTCTGATTTTGGAAGAGGGATTATTGTGGTTAAAAAGTACTTTTACATCTACTCTTCCTAAAAACCTTGTGAAGGTGTTTTAAAATACAGGTTTTGTTATTATTCAGATATGGTGAGGCCAGCAGATCAGCAGACAGTTGCTACTGAGAAGATTGTTACTCACAGTGCCAAGAGGAAGGGGCCCCAGGATAGGAAGCACCAGGTGGGAGCCCGAGCCTTTATTATGGTTCCCGTAGGGAAGGCAGAGTAAATAGATTTTGGATTGGCTGGCTCAAGGAATTGCAGAGGACTCAGGTATAAGGGCTACCTCTAGTTGCCTTGTACCTGGTCCTGGGATGATGAAGGCAGAGGACTGCTGCCTTCTGGAGTATAAAAGCCAGATAGAAGAGGTGGTTCCAATGTAGGATCTGGATTGTTTAGTTTGTGTATGAAAGATGTGCTCCTGGGTGAGTGGTTTGCTGGCTCTTAAGAACTGGCTAGCCCTGGAAGGGGCAGTTTCTCTCTAATTAGTGAGGCCCCAGATGCCAGACCATCAGGAATATAGAATATAAGAAAATAGGGCCAGGCGTGGTGGTTTACGCCTGTAATCCCAACACTTTGGGAGGCCGAGGCAGGGGGATCATGAGGTCAGGAGATCAAGACTATCCTAGCTGGAACATGGTGAAACCCCATCTCTACTAAAAATACAAACATTAGCCTGGTGTGGTGGCACACGCCTGTAGTCCTAGCTGCTCGGGAGGCTGAGACAGTTGAATCGCTGGAACCTAGGAGGCGGAGGTTGCAGTAAGCCAAGATTGCAGCACTGCACTCCAGCCTGGTGACAGAGTGAGACTCTGGCAACAGAGTGAGAGAAAGATGGAGAGATGAAGAGATGAGGAGGGAGGGGAAAGAAGGAAGGGAGGGAGGGAGGGAGGTGAGGAAGGGAGGAAGGAAGGGAGGGGAAGAAGAGCGAAGGAGGGAGGGAGGAAGGAAGGATATTGAAAGGGTCATTATTATTATTTTTTTTTTTTTTTGAGACAGAGTTTCACTCTTGCTACCCAGGTTGGAGTGCAATGGCGCGATCTCGGCTCACCACAACCTCCGCCTCCTGGGTTCAGGCAATTCTCCTGCCTCAGCCTCCTGAGTAGCTGGGATTACAGGCACGTGCCACCATGCCCAGCTAATTTTTTGTAGTTTTAGTAGAGACGGGGTTTCACCATGTTGACCAGGATGGTCTCGATCTCTTGACCTCGTGATCCACCCGCCTTGGCCTCCCAAAGTGCTGGGATTACAGGCTTGAGCCACCGTGCCCGGCCCAAGGGTCATCATTATTTCAGTTTTCAGAGTTGGGAACCAATTGGAGAAATTATGCAGCTACCTAAAGTCACATGTTTAATAACATAGGAAGCCAAAATTTAAACTAAAATCTGGCTATTCCAACATCAGGTACTTTCCACTATAACTTGCTACTCATAATCATAGTTAGGAGGAATATAATTAAAGCCCTGAGTCATCAAGCACAATTATATTTCGAGGAGATACCTGTTACATTTTAGAAGGATTTAAACATGATTAGATGTTTAAAGTTTGGGTATTTAAAACCAGAGGATGCTAGCACTTACAATGCCTTTGCACATATTAGAAGAAAACACCCGGCCGGGCGCGGTGGCTCACGCCTGTAATCCCAGCACTTTGGGAGTCCGAGGCGGGTGGATCACGAGGTCAAGAGTTCGAGACCATCCTGGTCAACATGGTGAAACCCCGTCTCTACTAAAAATACAAAAAATGAGCTGGGCATGGTGGCACGTGCCTGTGATCCCAGCTACTCAGGAGGCTGAGGCAGGAGAATTACCTGAACCCAGGAGGCGGAGGTTGTGATGAGCCGAGATCGCGCCATTGCACTCCAGCCTGGGTAAAAAGAGCGAAACCCCGTCTCAAAAAAAAAAAAAAAGAAGAGAACACCCCTACCTGTATGGTGTGAGCCTCATGAATTTTGTCTTCTAATTTCCCCCTTAGCTGGGCACCTTTGTTCAGTTTATAACATACTAACCATACTCAGGGACCCTTATTTAAACAGAAGTATTCAGTGTCAGATAGATGAAATTTAAATTACTTAATTTCACATTTCTCTGTCAGACAATTCAGCAATTTTTGTATGTAATGATTTATTAAAGAATGAATAACTTATTTGAATTAATTCTGAGTAAAAAAAGATTAGTAAACAGAAATCTACCTTTTTCTTCATTCATTCAAGAAATATGTATTTAGTACTTAATATATGGCAGGTAGTACCTCTAGAGACTCATAGTATCTCACTGAAAAAACAGGCAGAGTTCTGTCTTTGTAGAGCTTGCTTTTGAGAAGGAGGGGGACAAGTAGTAATGATCAGGGTAAGGGATTTAAGTATTGGGCGGTGGCATGATAGGGCAGGTGGCAGTATTGAACAGCACAGTCAGCTAGACATCATTTAGAAGGTAGGATTTGAGCAAAAACTTGAAGGGAATTAATGGATATCTGTGAGAAGAGCATTCAGGCACAGAGAACTGGTACATGTCCCTGCCATGTTTTAGTAACACAAGGGGGTTTACTGTGGCTGGGGCAGAATGAGCAGAAAGGAGACTGAAAGGAATGGACCAAGAGGGGCCAAAATGACAGAGGGACTTAGAGAGTATCGGAAGGACTGTCGCTTTTACTAGCAGCCAGATAGGGACATGATTTGACTTGTGCAAGGCTCACTCTGATTGCTGAGCTGAGAATAGATGGGAGAGGGCAAGTGCCAACATACAGGCTCACATGGTAGAGGCTGTTGCTGCATCCTGGCTAGAATAAAGTAGAAGCAGTGAAGGTGGTAAGAAGTCATCAGATCTAGTTTTTGGAAACTGCTAGTCAGAAGTTTGTTTTCAATATTGGCTAAAAACATTTTATTTTATTCTTCCCCAGACACCAATCTTTGCTTTAAAAACTGACTGGAAATGTGCCTGAAGGCTGGGTGTGGGTGACTCACACCTGTAGTCCCAGCACTTTAGGATACCAAGGCAGGAGGATTACTTAAGGCCAGGAGTTCAAGACTAGTCCTAGCTCTGGTGCCCTAATGAGACTTTGTATCTTTTTTTTTTTGAGACTCTCTGTATTGCCCAGGCTGGAGTGCAGTGGTGCAATCATGGCTCACTGCAACCTCCACCTCACGGGTTAAGCGATTCTCCTGCCTCATCCTCGCAAGTTGCTGGGATTACAGGTGTGCGCCAGCACACCCGGCTAGTTTTTGTATTCTTAGTAGAGACAGGTTTCACCGTGTTGGCCAGGCTGGTCGGAACTCCCAGCCTCAGGTGATCCACCCACCTCAGCCTCCCACAGTGCTGGGATTACAGGCGTGAGCCACCGCATCCAGCCAATACCTTGTATCGTTTAAAAAAAAAAAAAGGGAAATATGCTTGAAGAGCCACATGTTCTTGTCTATTTTCTCTTTTGTATTTCTTGAGAAGATGTTGTAGATGGCCATTAGAAAGCAACAGCTTAGTATTCCTTCAATAGGATTTATAAAACTAGGATAATTTTGTATAAAAATTGGTTTCTTAATATATTGTCTCTATTTGCACAAGCTTTGCCACAGGAAATCTACAGAGAGTTGTCCAAAGGTAAAATACATCGTTACCATGACATTCTCATGATCTCTTTTGTGACATTTATAGTGAATATGTTTAATAAAATTTGCTTCACAAGATGACCAGGTGGAAGACTCACTTGATATGTTTGAAACATATGTTGGTTACTCTGGAGAAAAAGAGAAAAAGATCAATGTCAAAATAACATAACCTCATGCTAATAACCTTCTTTTAGCCTGTAATACTTTTTAAATCAAGCAGGACAGCCTCATGTTTTGGTGGAGTAAGTGCTTTGCCTGTGTGGTTTATTTTAAGAGCTAATAGTTGAAGGCCTCCTTTATTAAAGATACTAATTTCTTCTAAGCTCTAGTTTGCTTCTGTTAAAATGTATATAGTCATAAGAAGGGATACCAGAGAAGCTGTTTCATTCATTAATACCTTTTTGTAAATTTATTTATCAAAATTGCTAACTATCCACAAAGGCTCTGTAGAAACACAGATGAACAGTGTAGGAATTTAAGCATCTGAAGGCATGGGCACCTTTCAGTGGTGTTCTGAAAATAGAGATTAGACAGGTTTAAAATACATCACAACTAGTTTTTAGTTAGCAAATCTAACTAAAATAAGCAAATATTTTAATATAGATATGGGGAGCTTAAGTATGTTGGATGTTGGAAAAAGCTTGAATATATATATAAAGTACAAAAGAATATTTTGGGTAGAAGAGGCCATCTTTTCACTTTATTACTGAAAGTATTGCAATTTTTTTTTTTTTTTTTTTTTTTTAAAGAGACAGGGTTTCACTGTATTGCCCAGGCTGGCCTGGAACTCCTAGGCTCAAGTGACCCTCTTGCCTCACTCTCCCCAGTAGCTGAAATTACAGGTAAACACCATCATGCCAAGCTAAAATTAAAAAAAAAATAAAAAAAATTAAGAGCAGTATTTTGAATGACTCTTCCTGAACTCCTAGATAAGCAAGTTGGACTGATAATACCAATTCTTTGCTTTTGCAGTTGTTGCTTTGGGGTATATTAATTTATTATTTTTCATATTTGGCAATTTTTTTGATATATTCAACAATCATTAGGCAGAACTAACTTACAAATTATATGTTAGAGGTTGACTGTCCTCAAAATAACTTCTTCTTTTCCTCCTCAGAATGAACTGACAGATACACGTGCAAAATTCCACGTCCTTTTTCTTTTCTTTGTGTCTGCAATGTTCTTCATTAGCGTCCTCTCACTTTTCAGCTACCACTGCTGGCTGGTTGGAAAAAATAGAACAACAATAGGTAAGTAGGTTGAAATAAATTATAATTACTTAAGACAATGACCATAAATGAATACGACATCTAGAGAAGGACAAGGTTCAGATGCTAGAGAAGTGTAAGACAATTCTGAATTTGGAATAGGTGGCACATGCCTAATAATTCCAGCTACTCAGGAGACTGAGGGAGGAGAATTGCCTAATCCCTGGAGGACAGCCTAGATAACATAAGGAGACCTAGCCTCTAAAAAATAACAATAATAAAAGAATTCTGTAGTAAAATTAATTGTAACTGGATGGGGACAATGGTTTTATAATAAAGGTTCATTATTTTGGAAAAGGTTGAGGAAATGGGATTGACTTTTTGACATATTTTCAGTAGTGTGTTATATATCAAAGGTTGAGAACTATTTTACAAATTTTAATAAATAAAAACTGTTTCTTACATTTATATAGTGTCATTTCAAAAATTAATCTATGAGAGGCTGGGCACAGTGGCTCATGCCTGTAATCCCAGCACTTTGGGAGGCGGCGGTGGTTAGATTACTTGAGTCCAGGAGTTCAAGACCAGCCTGGGCAACATGGTGAAACCCTGTCTCTAATAAAAATACAAAAAAAAAAAAAAAAAAAAAAAACAACCTAGCTGCAGTGAGCCAAAATTGTGCCATTGCACTTTAGCCTGGGCAATGAGAGTGAGGCCCTATCTCAAAAAAAAAAAAAAAAATTACTCTATCAGAGATAGACAGTAGATTTACATGCTTTAGGAAGTTTGCTGTCAAATAAAAAAACCTTTAAATTCTCAATTACAGCTTATCTTTTAACTAAAACATAACAATGTATTTCATGTTCATATATATATATATGTATTTTTTTTTTCCTTTGTTTTGAGAGTCTCACTCTGTTGCCCAAGCGAGAGTGTAGTAGTACCATCACAGCTCACTGCAGCCTTGACCTCCTGGACTTAAGCAGTGTTTCCACCTCAGCCTCCCAAGTAGCTGGGTCTACAGGTGTGCAACCGCACCCAGCTAATTTATTTATTTCTCACAAAGACAGGGTCTCGCTATGTTACCCAGGCTGGTCTCAAACTTCCAGGATCCAGTGATCCTCCCACTTCCACCTCCCAAAATGCTGGAATTTCAGATGTCAGTCACTTTGCCCAGCTCATATACATTCTTTACTTTTTTCCCCACAGTTTAACACATTTAACTGGCATATGTTCTGTGACTGAGGCTAAGGAATAATGCTTTTGACATGCTTCATTATTTCCATCTTTGTGTCAGTTGTCAGTGAAATTTATGTATTGTGTCACTAGTATTAGCATTTATTTTTTAGTTTGCTCATTTAAAAAAATGAAAATATAGGGGGAAAAGTAATGTTTTCAAGTAATTGGACAAACATTCCCTAAACAACAATGGTGGCGTTCCTCACTGAACTATTGTCATGTAAGAAGCACTGCTGTGTTATAATTGAAATATTTATATATCTGCTGACATACCAAGATACAAAATAAGGATTTTTATGGTAATGTTTTGTAAAAAAGTTAAAATTCACTTGCAATCTACAGCCATATATCTGCCAGGTAAGTTGGATCTGCCAACCCCGTCCTGCCTCACAGTACTTTATTTTATATGTTCACAAAGCATACAGCAGAGGGAGGGTGCAGTTACCCAGAACAGCCTGTAATCCCAGCACTTTGGGAGGCGGCGGTGGTTAGATTGCTTGAGTCCAGGAGTTCTCATACTTCAGTATATAATTCTCATACTTCAGTTAACATACCTCAGCTAACAACTATCTTGCAGCAAGGTCAGTGAAAGCTGGTTATCTTTCGCTAGGTGTGACTGCTCTTCTCAGAGTCATACCCATTCCGCTATTATGGTTTCACTTCTCTTGGAATTCAGCCAAAGTTCACAGCAGTCTTGCTGCCAATCCCCCTAGAGGGGGTGGGCTACTCTGGCTTTCTACAGTTGGGGGGGGAAACAGTTTTAATTACAAAAAGATTAAGGGATTTGGGGGGAGACATGTAGATGCTTTAGTATTGGATCATTTTAATGTGTTACTGAGCAGTGTTGTAAGTTATGGTGGGCTTCCTGTGTGAGGATTTCTCTGTCCTTCTCTGCTGTTGAACTCTCCTCCAATTCCATCATGCTTTTGCCCCTTTTCAGTGTAAACAAAATTTCTTATCCCTATTAACTGTTTTTGTCCTCTTTATAGAATATTCTGCCATCTCTTTACCTTTAATTGAAAATAACAGAAAGGCAGCCTACAGGCAAAGTCCAGCCCTTAAGTTCTCCCCAACCAATAAAATCTGTGTGAGAGATTTCACAAAGAACACCAGATTTCTTCATTTTAAAACTGATAAATCTAGTAGTAGTAGGCGCATTTTCCCACTTGGCATCAGTGAAATGGAACTAAGCAGTGGTGGACGGCAATAGGGCATGGATTTAGATAGGGCATGGACACTGTCATTTGCCACTGGTCTTGCCAGTTGTGCCTTTGTTTCCTGCCCAGCCCCTGTAAGTATGTGAGAAATTGGCACTTCCAGGGAACCTGCTGTTCTCTTCAGCGGTCTTTTTCAAACTTCTTTTTTTGCCAGTGGCCACAGTAAGAAATGCAGCATTTTACATCGTGACTTAGAACATGCACAAATATTTATAAAATTATATAAATAAAATAAGCAAAAGTTTCACAAAACCTCATTAATCTCTACTATGTGCACTGTATTCTGATATTTTCTTTTCTAGTTTCTTAAAAGGAAATGCTGGTTGCAAGTCATTCAGTTGATTATGTGGCCTATCAAGCTGTTTTAACCCACACTTTGAAAAAACATTGCTGGCCGGGCGCGGTGGCTCAAGCCTGTAATCCCAGCACTTTGGGAGGCCGAGGCGGGTGGATCACGAGGTCAAGAGATCGAGACCA